AAAAAAAAAAAAAAAAAAAAAAAAAAAAAAAAAAAAAAGGGGAAGACCTTGATTATATATAAATTTGATATGGGTAACAACACATAAAAGAAAAATGATAGAATTGGAATGAAGAATCGAATGAGGATCAAAAAAAGAACATGTTTTTTTTTCTGTCCCTAAATTAATGGTATGCCAAAGTTCCCATTACTGCCTCTGGCTTGGCTTTGGCCCTCAAATAGATATATATATATATATATATATATATATATATATCATAAGCTAGCTCCAAACCAGCACTGCTCAATTAATTTAACATTAATTAAGAACCAAACCCTAATTTGAGGGTTATTTTTTTATTTTCCTCATTATTCCCTTTTTATTTTTCTCCCAATGATTGCATTACCGAACATGCCACTGCTTGAGCCCAATGTCTTAATTTTGCCTTCACTTGCTTCGGATCTTGCCCTGAACAAATTCATCAAAATTACACCCTTTTTTTAATTCCTTTAATTTCATTATAAACAATCTCAAATCTCTCCTTACCTGGGCTGCAAACCCTCCATGTATCACAATCACCCCTCGGGCTCTCACACGATGAAGATCGTTCCCCGAGTGACGACGATGACGACTTGCTACTATGCAGCATCGACACTGGACTCGGCAAGAGCTGTCGATTCACGGCGAAGTATAAGTCAAGAGCTGGTAATGTACCACATAACTTATGTCCGTCTTCCTCATTGAACGCAAACCCTAATTCGATGCATCCTTTAAGCTCATTCCAATCTTCGTCGGTTAAGTCATCTTTATCGGTCGAGCCGCTGTTTTTAGGTCGGAGCATTTGTCTTCGTCGTCGTTTCTCCCATGCAAGGTCTCTTGGTGTTTCACACATTGAAAGTTGCTTTGATAAACGTTTCTTGTTTTTTAAGCATGATGATGCTAATTGTATGTGTTTTAGCTCGTTATCTAGCTCGTAGAGTGACGAACATGATGATAATGGCGATAGAGCTGATGTGATTCTTTTTAAATGTTTCTTGTCCATTAGGAGTACGTACGGCGGTGGCGGCTAGTAATAACCCGCCAACCGCGCTTTCGAGGAGAGGGCCGGGTCGGGACTGGGGACAGGAATAGGGGAAGTTGGGAAGTGTCTTGGTTGAGAATGGGAAGAAAGTCGCAGCCAGCCCGACCGAGTGAGGGCATAGAAGATGGGGGAGGCTTTAATGGTGAAAGGGAAGGAAGGATGGCCATGTCTTTACACCGTTACTTTCTAACCATTCTCCTCCTAACATTCAACACTCCTAATTTAGTTCTTTTTTTTTTTTTATTTCTATTTTTAGAATTCAAAGACTTCTCCTTTGACAATGTAATTTTGTATTATATATATATAATTATTATTATTTTTTAAATATTTTCAAATTTTATAAATAATAGGACACCAAATGTGATTCGAGGCTGGACCGTACGTTAGAATTGACCCCAAAGTCCAATTTTCACATGGCTAGCTTGTTTATTGAATTAGAACAAGTGTCAGCAGAATCACTAGTTCATTGCCTAGAAAGTGTTATTGTGACAAGTAGTATTAGAAGTTGGGTATCTCCTAGTCCCATCATAGACTGAAAGGATGTTGGTACCAAAATAGTTGACTGAGTCGCAAGTCAAGCGACACACTGAGATCGAATTATGGAAAATTCGATGGATTGACGCAGTTAGCCCCCGCTAGAATGAGTTGTCAATAGAAAATTGATATTTAAGGTTGATTCCCTAGAAAAGAGAGCTACATGATTGGATACCGGAATGTGGAGGTAGCTTTGAGAGCACTGTCGCACACATGAAAGGATGTGTCGAAGAGTTAGACATTACACAAAAGACCATGTTGAAATTCTTTAACAATTCAACCGAAGACTTCAAGACAACAATAGACGCCATCAAGGTTTGAGTCCGTGAACGAATATTTTACTTGGGAAAGAAACTTAGTTTTTTCACCTAATAATTTAAGTGTCTCCATTAAAGTCTTCTCGGTTAAAGTTGTGAGCTCTTATAAACATGAGTACATGCTTTTTTCTTCCTTATGAAAAAAATCGATAGAAATTCTCGTAACTAAGTAGAAAGACGTTCATTCCGGATAAAATTTGTTAGTTTCGATTCATTTTGGTCTTTCACATTCAATTTCATTCGTTCGAGTCCAACAATTAGTCTTAGTTCATGAACGACAAACATAACGGTACCGATGCTACCTAGAAGCGCAAATATTCGACACCAAACTCCCAAAGAACAGAAGAGTTAGCAGCCCCAAATGTTGAGCATAATCTTCAAAAACCATTCCCAGACACCAAGAACACACTCTTTCTCTAAGCACAACTACTAGTAAGAAGACATCTTGTCAGTACAAATCATAACTACAAAACATTTACAAATTTCATATTACCAAAATCCAGTTAAAACTCAAAAACAAAACAACAACTCCTTTTAGAATATCCATATGGCAACAATGCAACATACAAGATGATGAACTCAGTTCATGACTGAACTGTTATGTCCAAATTGCTTCTCTGCTCAGGAAGCTTAGCACCACTTGCTTTTGTTGTCTCCTTCTCCTGATTTACTCTCTCCTTCACCTTCATACCGCTATTCCGTCCACTGATTAGCTGCGTCTTAGCTTTTGGAGTTGTCATCTCCGCTCTGATACTACCGAGGCTATGTCGTTTCACTCGACCACATACTTTGCCCTTCTCTATATTTGAGGTAACTGCTGCGTCGCCACAACTCCTTCTCCTAGTGAAATTTGGCGACTTGGGTCGAGTCAGTGGAAGCTGCCACACGAGAACACGAGAACGCTAAAGGCGTAAGAGTCGTTACAGAAAGAATTGCAGGTGAGTTGATGATATTGATTCTGAAACTCTCACCTTCTTGAGTTCAACTTTGGGTGGAGGTCCTTCATAGTAGAAAGTAGGCACTGGGTTTGCTTTGATGATTAAGCTCTTCCTCAGCTGCTTGATGGCTGCTTCTTGCTCTTCCTATGAAATCATATTAGTTATCAATCATATGTTGAAGCAAAATTGGTCGAGAATATATGTAACCGTTCAAGCCCACTGTTAGCAGATATTGTCCTCTTTGAGCTTTTCCTTTCGGGCTTCCCCTCAAGATTTTTAAAATGCATCTGCTAGGGAGAGGTTTCCACACCTCTATAAAAAATGTTTCGTTCTCCTCCCCAACTGATGTGGGATCTCATAATCCACTCCCCTTCAGGGCCCAGCGAGCACACCGCTCGATGTCCACTCATTTCGGGGCTCAGCGTCCTCACTAGCACATCGCCGGTAACCTGGCTCTGATACTATTTGTAATAGTCCAAGCCCACCGGTAGCAAATATTGTCCTCTTTGGACTTTCCCTTCCGGGCTTCCCCTCAAGGTTTTTAAAACGTGTCTTCTAGGGAGAAGGACAAAGTATGTTTTGTTCCCCTCCCTAACCGATGTGAGATCTCATAATTCACCCCCTTCGGGACCCAGTGTCCTCGCTAGCACTCGTTCCTCTCTCCAATTGATGCGGGATCTCATAAATCATCCCACTTTGGGGCCCAACATTCTCGTGGCACTCGTTCCTCTCTCCAATCGATGTGGGATCTCATAATTCATCCCCCTTCGGGGCCCAACATCCTCATTAGCACTCGTTCCTCTCTCTAATATAAGTGGGATTTCATAATCCATCCCTCTTCGAGGCCCAGCATTCTCGCTGACACTCGTTCCTCTCTCCAATCGATATAGGATCTTATAATCCACTCCCATTCGGAGCCCAGCATCTTCGCGGGCACACCGCCCGATAACCTGGCTCTGATACCATTTGTAACCGTCCACTGCTAGCAAATAGGAAATTAATAGTTCCCAAGAAAGAAGAAAAGAAAGATACCTTTGTTCTAGCTTCATATTGGCTTTTCTCAGCCTGCAAAGCTTGGTGTTTCTCCTCCAACTTATTATAAAACTGGAAAATTACGACAAATCCGGTATAACGATGCGTATAATGCCAAGAACATTTCCAATAATACACGACACCAATTAAGTTACCTCCTTCCTTCTCTCGGCACGACCAGCTGAACGGAAAGTCGGAGCCACGCCAACAGTTACCTTAGATTTCACAGAAGTAGCAGTACTTTACATGGCTAAGGATCATAAAAGCCAAAAACTTACGTGACACGATTTAACTACCAAATGTAAAAACATTTCGACGTCGAAAAGGATACGAGGAAGTGATGGACCAATTATCTTCTTCGTCGTGGTACTTTACATGCTTCCTTAACGAAAGAGGCGAACTCGGCTGTAAACAACCAGAAAAGTTCAAGCATTAATCATTACTGCTAAACTGTTTCAATCTAACTTCACTCTCACAAAAACCCTTATAAATTGAGTAAGTTAGGGGCTGTAGGGTATAGTCCGAAGGGTACGTTTCGGAGAGTCGAGGCCTCTCAAGAAACACGTGGTACGAGAAACGGGCAAGGTTTATAATGGTAAAACAGCCACAGTGTTGACAGAAACTAGTACAGAATTAGGAAAGAAACGATAATTAAGATGGAAATTAACCAAAAACGATATCGATACAAGAAATAAAACTACAAGATCCCTACATCAAATGTCTCGAGCCCTCCCGAAACTACTCTCCAAAATCTGTCCACCTTAAACCCAACAAAAAGCTTGGCCATATTTTAGGGGTCAGCCTAGAAAAACTGTAACAGTAACAGCCCAAGTCCACCGCTAGTAGATATTGTCTGCTTTGACCCATTACGTATCGTCATTAGTCTCACGGTTTTAAATCGCGTCTACTAGGGAGAGATTTTCACACTCATATAAGGAATGCTTTGTTCCACCCTCCAACCGAGGTGGGATCTTATATCCACCTCCTTGGGGGCCCAGCATCCTCGTTGGCACACCGCCCGGTGTTTGACTCTGATACCATTTGTAACCGCCCGAGTCCACCGTTAGTAGATACTGCTCGCTTTGGCTCTTTACGTATCATCGTCAGCCTCACGGTTTTAAAACACGTCTACCACACCCATATAAAAAACGTTTTGTTCCCTTCTCCAACCGATGCGAGATCTCACAAACACGTACATATTTCAAAGACAATATCATACCTGAGAGTTCTTCTTAGCACTAGGACAATGCAAATTTGGCAAAATGTTGACACCAGCAGTAGTAGTTGCATCATTTCCGTTACTATGTGTACACGGACCGCGCTTCTCCGTTTCCAACGTAAACGGCTGAGGAACAGTGTACTGCCCTCGCATATTTCCCGGAGATTTCGATCCAATCGGGCTCGACTTCTTATACTCTCCAAGCTTCTCATATTTCTCCTCCACATCAAGATTCGTACTTTTAACACTCAAAACTTCTTGCTTCTCATGATATTTCTCAATGATCAAGTTTTCTTCAGTACATTTCTTCACTTCATACTCCTTAGCCTCAATGTTTCTTTGTGCAACTCTCGGCGCAACAAAAACTATGTCACGAGCAACACCGTTCGGGTTCTGCTCAACTCGTACAGCACATGGCTCCCTCCCCATGATGCTGCATAAGGTTATCAGTTAAATTCAACAGTTCCATCCATGAACAAGGATCAAAATGAATCTTTTCAACATTTAAGATCCAAAACACAACATTCCAAACTATGCATTTTTCAACAAAGAACACCGAAAAAGCTTAACTCAGCTCCACGTACGATAGCCAAACTACGGTCGAGCAATCGACATGATATAATCGAAAGAAGAGTTCATATGAAACTTCAAGAACCAACAAAGACATAAGAACAAAGCAAAAAGAACATAAATATGATTAGAAATCGCCACAAACTTACTGAAACAAGCAAGGATTGAAGAGATTCAAGCAATCTAAATTGTAGAACAAAGAAGAACACAGAATTTTTGAGAAGACAACCAAAAGACAAAGCAATCTTTAAACCTCACGAAGTCAAAGAAACCAACCGACCACTCCTAATGGAAAATGACTCCACAAAAGACACCTTTAATCCTTTGACCAAAACAAAAAGATAAGCATTGAAATAATATTCGTTACACACCACTAACTTTGAAAAGGGAAGAACAGCCAATCAAAGAGAAGGAAATTAC